ATATCGGAAGCTAACACTAAAGCGCTAACTTTTATCATACATTGCTGTTGCTGACACTGTAAGACTGTGTAATGTGACGTTGTACAGTAAGTGAACACAACTCAAAATGGTTCATAAATCACAGGTAAAGTGTCCATGTCCCGTTCAGAGGTGAGCTTTCAGAAATTTGTCCAGTCCATCAGAACCAAAGAGGCGAAGCAGAACTTTGCTGTGCTGAAGCAGAGTGATGCATTCAGTGTGTCGGACGTCTCCCTCGTGTCATTTACTATAATTAATTAAGTCACTTTGGCTAGCCTCTTTATGGTTAACTGCTTTTATAACATAACTACAAAGTTTCTGTGCATCATCATCAATATTCCCGACACGGGACCCGAAAGTCCGAGCTTCGATCCCCAGTCATTGCACATCTCGTAGTGTCTCTGAGCAGGACACCCTATCCCCAATTGCTCCCGGGGTGCTTTCAATAGTTGCCCACTGCTCCACCTGGTGGTGGATGGGTTAAATGCAGAGAGACAATTTCACCGTTGTATGGGAACATACAATGATGCCAATACATACACATTATTATTATTATTATTATTATTATTATTAAATGTTTGTAACAGTAATTTTATTTCTATTTATTTTATTTGTGGTTTTATTAGAGTCAGACACTGACTGGACCTATTGATCATCCGAAAACCTCTTCAGGGTTGAAAAATGTCTGGATTCATAAAACGTGACGGTGCTCAGAGGAAGATGATGAACTGTTTGTTTGTTTGTTTGTTTGTTTGTTTGTTTGTTTTCTTCCTCAGTCCTCTGCCCGCTGCTCTGTAAGAACGGAGGCGTCTGTCTGCAGAAAGATCGCTGCTTCTGTCCCAAAAACTTCACCGGAAAGTTCTGCCAAATTCCCGCCTCACCTTCCGCCTCCTCCAATCAGATCAGCAGACCCGCCCTCCTCGCCACCGCAGCAGCCAATCAGGAGCTGATGAGGTCAGAGTTCCTGCTTCCGTTGGGTCAGAACCAGGAGGCGCTGCAGGGTCAGAACCGGGACACGCCACGCTCCGAAGGTGATTTAAGTCACATAAAAAAAAACTAGTTTTGACCCCTAACTTCTTACTTTTTAGAAATTTTATAATTTTTCTTTAAATCCTTTTAATTTTTTGTATATATTCTTTATTTTAACCCTTTCAGTTGTAATTTTATTAATGTATATATATATCGTTTTTTAACTTAATTTTTGTTTAAACTGGTTTTTACACAAATGTTTAAACTTTACTTTTTGTTCTTAAAGGCAAAAAAGATTTTACTTTGAATATTTTCTGAAAGAGCTTAATATTTAAAAACTGGATTCATTAATTAGATTTTCATTTAAATGAATTTTAAACCATTAAATTTTTGCTTTGTTTTGTTTCTTGCTAAAATAATTATTTCAGCTTATTAATGTTTTTTTTTTTAATCTGGTCTAAAACTAATCGTTTACAACTACAGTATAAAATATGTACTTTCACCGTTGTATAAATACTTTCAGACATGTAGCTCATAGTTTTTAATGTCCTAGTTGTGTTTTTTATTTTATTTTATTTGTTTCGGGCAGTTTTTTGTTTTTCTGAAGCAATTTTCTAAACAGTAAAATATTCTAAAAAGTTTGTAAAATATGAATTTGCTTCAGATCTTTGTGATTCTCAGAGTTGGTTTAATTTAATCCGTTCTTTAATTAATTCATTTTTGTGTCTAATTATTAGTGTTTTGAATCTTCAGCCTCAGAGTTGTTCCAGGTTCTGTTTCTGTGTCCAGAATCCAGCTCCCCCATGGTGAAGGTCAGAGTTCAGCACCCGCCTGAGGCCAGCGTGAAGATCCACCAGGTGATGAAGGTCAGAACCGGAGCCGGCTCTCTGACTGGACGATGGAAGTTTCTTTCATCTTAACATTTAAATCAAAACGGTACCACTTTACAATAAGGCTCCCCTTAGAGATGGCTAATAAATAATTTATAGATACGTTATTAATACCTCTATAAACACATTATAAATCATTAATAATTGTTTATTATGCATTAATTCAGAGTGACAGAGAAACAAACCTGAGCAGTTTGTTGCCATATAGTGAGCCAGATCTGCCACCTATATTTCACCTAGAGTTGTTGTATTAAACATTCAGACTAAGTTACTGCCTGGTAAAAACAATAAGCATTTGTAAACCTATTTTTTTAGGATATAATATTAGTTTTAAATACTTATAATGCATTGATAAAGTTTAATATTATATGCTAAAAAATTAGGTTTACAAATGATTATTGTGCTCACAAGGTAGTAACTTAGTTTGAATGTTTAATATAACAACTAGATGAAACAGATTTGGCTCGCTTTGTGCCAAGAAACTTGTCAGTTTTGTTTCTCTGTCACCCATAATTAATGCATAATAAGCAGTTGTTAATGATTTATAAAGTGTTTATAGAGGAATTAATGACATATCTATAAACGATTTGTTAGCCATCTATAAGGGGAGCCTTATTGTAAAGTGGTACCATAAAAACTTCACCACTTTCTGGAGGGAAACTTGATTCTTCTTCATCGGTCCAGGTGTCTGGTTCTGGTCCTGCCCTGCAGACCAGTTCTTCCTCCTCTTCGGGTTCGGCCGGAGCTCCGGCCCCATCGCCGGTTCTCGCAGGTGGTGGAGTCCAGGCCCAGATCCTGAGCGGTGTCAGTACCTACAACCACCAGTCGGGCTTCAGATATTGTTTCAGAGAGGTGAAAGACGGACAGGTGAGAACAGAACGCAGAACATGAGACATGTTCCTGTTTTTTGTTTCCTAGGAAACGGACGGACGGACGGACGGACGGACGGACGGACGGACGGACGGACGGACGGACGGACGGACGGACGGAAGGAAGGAAGGAAGGAAGGAAGGAAGGAAGGAAGGAAGGAAGGAAGGGTTTTTCTGTGTGTGTGTGTTTTTATTTTATTTATTAGTTTCTTCATTAAAAAACAATTCAATTTACAATAAGAAATACAATCACAAATAAAATGAAAGGCAGCAGAAAGAAGAAAAAATCTTATATCTGCTCCTTTATACCAAAAAATTAATTCAAACAATAATAATCTTCAAATAACAAAAACAAAATAAACAACTCCTTCTCGAGCATCAATTCATACAAATACACATTAAGTTATTTCTCTTTTTTTAACGAACCAGCTTTGATCATTCTCTTAATCATAGACATTGATCTGGCATTTTTCACATCACTCTCCAGATTATTCCATAATCTAATTCCCTGGATTGAGGTAGACCGTTCCTTCAGACTCGTTCAAAATTTAGGTTTCACAAAGATTTCCATCCCCTTAACATTATAACAGCTCTCTTTTAACACAATTTAATTGGCTATTTAAAGGTAATGTATTATTATGAGCCCTATACATAACGTTTACAGTTTACAGTGTTTATTTGCGTATAAATATTTGTTGTGTTTTTCTTTGTGTTGTTGTGTTTACAGTGCAGTTCCCCACTCCCTGGTCTGCGGAGCAGAGAAACCTGCTGTCGGGGGACAGGGAAGGCGTGGGGACTCACTGATTGTGTCCTCTGTCCTGAAAACTCAGGTACAAACACCTGAAACACAAAATCCTGCAGATAAACAACACAACAACAAACAACCAACACAAACAACACAACCGGAGTCATCATTCTGAGCTGTCGGTCCAGCTCCAGGTGTTCAGTGATGCCGTTTATTTAAACCTACTGGACCAAAGCTAAAAAAAAACCAAAGATGGCCGACATAATTTTAAAAATTAATTCATTTTTTATGACGTCAGACTTCATGACGTCAGACTTTATTTTGAGTGATTCTGACTCGTCAGAACATTTTTAACGTTCTGTTACGGCTCTTGCTCAGGTCAGACCAACGGCAGTTGTCCGGTTGGGTTCGAGCGATCCAACGGGTCTCAGTGTGTCGGTGAGTTGAACACACACACAGAGGTCAGACAGGTGGAGGTGGGGGCGACAGGTTGTTTTAAAGCTTTTAAGTCATAAATAAAACATTTTCATTGATAAAAGAAATTATTTCTCCTGGAACGTTAAGACGAGTTTATTTCTCATGAGGTGCTGGTTCTGCAGCTGACCCGAGCAGGAAATAAAAATCTAAAAAGTTCAGATCAGGAACTTGATGGCTGCTTCCTGTGTTTTTGTGCTGGAACCATTTTGATGGAAGCTTCCAGTTTGCTAGATAAACGAGAACCGTTGAGCTCTGTGGCGTCCCACAGAGCTGAGAACTCGGCCCACTAGTTTAGCAGATTTGCTGTGAATCCAAGATCTTGACATTTGTCTTGTTAGGTAATTTTTACATTGGTTAAATATTTAAACAAATGTTGTAATTAATTTAATAATAGTAATGATAATAATAACAATAATAAGATTAATATAAGAAATAATCAGTGTGAACAGTTACAACACAAAAAGCTGGAAAATAAACTGGATTGTTTCACAAACTTAGTTTTTTCTAACTTTAAAGAAATAACTGACAATCATTATTTATTATTGTTGTAAAAACAGTTCACTGTTTAAAAAAGTTAAATCTGGTCCTCTGGACATTCAAAAAACAAAACAAAGCAAAACAACAATTTTTGTTGTTGTTTTGCTCTGTTTTGTTTTTTTAATGTCCAGAGGACCAGATTTAACTTTTTTAGATTATTCTACCTGGATTATTGAGCATGCATCAGGATAGTTTACTGTTTGTGTAGTTTTTGTGTTGAAATTTTTACCCAACAAAAAATGAAGTTTGTTGATTAGTTTCATGGATCAGCGCCTCCTTTAGTTTTAAAACTTGGTGGATTTATTTGAAACTTTCAGGTTCAGAACCTGTTCAGCTCAGAACACTCGGTCCAGTTTGGGCCGGTCCCGCTCACCTGCATTGAAGTGTGTGTCGGTGTTTAAATGTGTGTGTCGGTGTGTTAACGTGTGTGTCGGTGTGTTAGTGTGTGTATCATGTGTTAACGTGTGTGTCGGTGTGTTAACGTGTGTGTCGTTGTGTTAACGTGTGTGTCGGTGTGTTAACGTGTGTGTCGTGTGTTAACGTGTGTGTCAGTGTGTTAACGTGTGTGTCGGTGTGTTAACGTGTGTGTCGTGTGTTAACGTGTGTGTTGGTGTGTTAACGTGTGTGTCGGTGTGTTAACGTGTGTGTCGTGTGTTAACGTGTGTGTCGTGTGTTAACGTGTGTTTCGTTGTGTTAACGTGTGTGTCGTTGTGTTAATGTGTGTGTCGTTGTGTTAACGTGTGTGTCGGTGTGTTAACGTGTGTATCGGTGTGTTAACGTGTGTGTCGGTGTGTTAACGTGTGTGTCGGTGTGTTAACGTGTGTGTCGGTGTGTGTAGATGTGAATGAGTGCCACCAGCAGGGGCTCTGTGAGAACGGCCTCTGTGTGAACACCAGGGGGAGCTTTAGCTGTGTGTGTCGCTTGGGGTTCATCCTCGATGCCACACATGGAATCTGCATCTGTGAGTAACACACACACACACAGACACACACACACTGCCACCTGCTTGATCAAAGGAAAGACTGAACTCCTGTCAGAATTCAAGAAATAATCTGGATCCGTTGGAGTTACGGGACTTTTTTAACAAGTCATCATGAAATCTGCTGCATCTGGGTTGGTGATCCTCAGGGATGAACCACATCTGGTTCTGAGACGGTTTCTGTGAGTCCTGACTGGAGTCTGTTCCTTCCGACCGGCATCTTCTGACCCCCTGGAAGAAGAGGAGCAGGATGCTGGTCCGGCTGATGCTTCTGGTCTTAAACAGCACCTTTGTGTTTGTGTTTTGAATGTCTATAAACTGGGCCCAGAACTTTTCTGGTCCCTGGTTCTGGTCCACAAAGCCTCCGGTTTGTTTTCATATGAAAACAAGGACTTGAGAAATCTGGATCAATTTTTAAAAATCTACTTTTAATTATCGTAATAAACTCACGGGAGAAGATCTTCAATTCCCTGAGATCTTCTGACGAGGAGTCGGTCCGTTTGGGCCAAACCTGGAAAATCAAGTTCTGTTGGTGGCGATGACTTTCAGCTACTGCCACACCGAACTTTAGCTTGATATAGAAGCAAAATAGCAGCTACAAGTTCAGTCAGGTCTTGATGTGTTCTCTCAGGTCTTGATGTGTTCTCTCAGGTCTTGATGTGTTCTCTCAGGTTCTTTCAGGTCCTGATGGTTTTTGTCCTGTCTTTGTCTCAGTTTCCTTCTTCATTTTTCCAGAACCATCCTCTGAGCTTCTTGTCTTTGTGTCGGGCTGCTGGTGTCTCTGTGGACCAGAGGACAGCATGTTCTGGTTCTGCATGCAGCAATCTGTTGGACTCTAAGATCTGTTTGGACCCTCAGGTGTTCTCCTCTCCCTCCTCACTCCTGTCTGTGTGTCCTCAGCCCACAGTGTGATATCGGAGGAGAAGGGTCAGTGTTACCGGATCCTCGGTTCTGGTCTGGGTCCGTCTTCTTGCTCCATGCCCATCTTCCGGAACATCACCAAGCAGATCTGCTGCTGCAGCCGTGTCGGGAAGGCCTGGGGACCCGAGTGCCAGAAGTGCCCTTACTTTGGGTCAGGTCAGTCATCTTTCAGATTAAAAGCTCAGATTTATTTTTGTTCAGGTTCACGAGAAACGGACTCGAGTTCAGGAGGAAGAAGTTCTGCAGAAACATCAAAGTCCAAATCAGCTCCAGAATCCGTCTGTCCAAAGACCAACGGGACTTTAGGAATAATCTGAAACTGTGACAGAGCCAAACTCTTAGTTTAAAGAGCTTTATTTAGAAGGTCCAGGTTGAAACCACTTCCTGGTTTTTGGACTTTAAAACCTAAATCTGTCAGAAGTTTTTCTTCAGAGCTCCTGAACTTTAAAGTTCTAATCAGGACTGTCGAATCCCTGGAGGCGGCCATGATGGAAGAAGCTGCTGAGTAATATAGATTTACTGACCCACAATCTGCTGAGTCATGGGTTACCATGGTGACCCCGCCTTTTTGTGGGGGACAGAAAAGGACTGAGCAACACTTTACACTTCAGGCAGAACCACAGAGTAAAAAGTAAGCCTCAGAAAACTAGAAGTCAGATCAAATAACTTCTTGACCCATGAGCAGCAGAAGGTTCTGATGGTCCCACAGGTTCTGCTTGGTGGTTCTACATGGTTTTATGGAGAATATATGACAAGTTAAAAAGAGCCTTCACTTCCTGTTTGAAGAAAAAACTGAGCTCAGATACAATGGGAGTTTGGGTGTTTGACCTTTGACCTCTGGGAGGAAACCATCAGTCCTCCAGCAGAGAGACACTGGGAGGATGAAGACAGAAAGACTGAAGGTTGGAGGAGAAACTGGAGAAAAGAGGAAAGATTATTTGTAAAATAATAAAGTTTTAGTCTCTAAAGTTGAACGTTTGATAAAAACAGTAGACTCCTCCACGTTGGCCTGTGATTGAGAACAAAGAGTAAAAGATGTGAAAACAGCAGCTCAGTCATGGAGAGTCCAACTTCCTGTGACCCGTTTAAACTCTGGTTCTGCTGGGAAGTCGGAGCTGGAGACCCAACAGGACCAGGTGTTACATCGATGGTCGTCTGTGGGGGCTCGTACAGTTTTTGAGTGAATCTCGTCTCCGTCGAGGTTTGATGTGATTTTAAAATTTTTGTTCCAGGACGTTAAAACCCGACCCAGATCCTGACAGAACCAGAACAAAAACACACGAATCAATCAACATCGATAATGATCAAAACCTGAAGGACAAAACTTTAATGAGTTTCTTTAAGTTCGTGTGAAATCATTTAGAGTTTTATCAGGATGTTCTGAAACCAGACAAGAAGTTCTGTCTAAAAGTTCTGGTCCGGTTCTGGTTTATTTCTGTTTTCCCTCCAAGCAGCAGAGTTCCTGAAACGTTTTTAAAACCTGCATATGTTTTTCTGTCGTTAAGTTTATTTGATTAAACGTTCTGCCTGTTCTGTTGGTTCTGTTGGTTCTGTTGGTCCCAGCTGCCTTTAAGGAGATCTGTCCCGCCGGGCCCGGGTACCATTACTCAGCTTCCACTCTGCAGTTCACTCAGAGAGCCGACCCGGCGGGCCGAGGCCCGCTGCTGACATCACAGGACAGCAGAGGTATGGACCAATCAGCTTCCTGCTTTCAGGCTGCACTGACTAGAAGTTTAAATGTTTCGTTAAAGGAGAACTTTATTTTTTTACAATAAAACATTTAATTCTTACAAAGATTTACTGTTGACCAATAAAATCATTCAAATCATGAGAATTTGAATTCATTTGATCAGTTCTGATCATTTGTTTTTGGTGTTTTTGCTTTGTTGTTTGAATATTTGAGAGGATTTCAGTAGAGGTCAGAGGTCACATGACTCAGCTGTCAATCATAGTTGGACATTTTTGACTTCCCATCAGGCCTTGGGCTCCGTCCTCAGGTTCTTCAGATGTTCTGATGGTTCGGGTCAAGGATCTAAAGAAAAATCACAAAGTTTTTGTCAGAAATTTAAAAAAAAATATTTCTACCCTGATTCTTCCTTTGAGATTCTGAACCCGGGTCCAGCAGCACCAGAACCTCCAGTTCCCAGCAGAAACTGTCCCCTGGTTCATCAGCAGGTACCAGACCCGCTCAGCCTAAGCCGGAGGTCCGACTTCCGTCACAGCCTCCGCTCAGCTCCTCCAGAACATTTCAACCTTCTGGGTCCACAATCTCAACCTCCCATCAGAACCGGGTCGACTCAGCACAAACAAACTCTCGGTCCACTGACAGCCGAGGTAACTCAGAACCAGAACCCGGATCGGAATCATTCCTAAAGTTCTGGACCCGGCAGCAGGTTCATTTGGAGGATCTTTGACCCAGGTGATATTTCTGCTCTCAGCAGGTGCTCCGACATCCTCCGGGTCCCGATCCGATCCAGTCGCACCTCGAGGCGACTCTGCCTCGGCTCCGGCCCAACGTGGATCCAGACCTGACTTAGCCCGGCCTCATGTGAGCCCGACGACCCGACCCACCAGAGTCCAGGGTGAGTACTTGAACCGTTCAGCGCATCCAGAACATCTTCAGGTCCAAAGGTTCTGTCTGTTCATTACAGAAAAACAAGAAAATGAGTTTTTATTTCAAAAAGTTTAATTTATGATTCTGTTTAAAACCAGAACATGTTGATGGTGTAGAACCCTCCATCTCCACTGTCTACGGCTTTTCTGTAGTCGGGTTCTAAAGGTCCAGGAGAGAAACCCAGACCTCTCTGTCCCCAGTGACGGCAGACCCCAGGGTGTTCCCATGTCAGCCAGGAAGCAACGTCCTCATTACTGAGGATGAAACCCTGACCTTTAGGTCCATTCCCCGCTCTATCCTCTTCTTAAACAAGATACTCAGACACTTGAGCTCTTTCACCTGAGGCGAAGAACATGGTGGTGGTTATGGACAGCCCAAGCACAGCACAGGAAGTCTATAACAGAAAACTGTTGGGGTTCAGATTAGTGAGGCTGTTCCTCCTAATCTTAGTCTCTGAATGGTGTCCCCTTCCAGGACACCATTCAGAGACTCAAGAAAGACTCAAGAAAGACCGCTTAATCTGAACCACTGTTTGCTGCATAGGCACAAACAAAAGTCAGAACCTTGTCTCGTAGTAGGAAGCCACAGAAATTAAAACCTCTCATTCCCCGGTGGAAAACTCCGACACTGAAGCATGTGAGTGTTCCCACAACGGCCCAACACCTCTGTCCCTGGGCAACTTCAGAGTAGGGAAAAGTCCAGCCTCTCTCCAGGAGTTGAGTCCCAGAGCTCAAGCTGTGTGTAGAAGTGGACTCAAGTATATCTAGGTGGTATACTCAACCTCACACACAAGCTCTGGTTCCAGCTCCAGTGAAGTCACAGTCCATCGGCACAACTGAGGACTCTCCCTCGCCTGCTGCCCGGCTTGCATTGCACGTAACCGTGGCACCTGATCATGGTGGTCCTCCTCACAAGTGGTGGGCCCACATGGATGTGGTATACTGTCTCTCTTTTGGACTTGACCTGGCCGAGCCCCAGGAGCCAAGGCTCAATGTCTAGGTGCTTGCTTCCACCCCAGGCCTGGCTCCAGGGAGCTGCCCTGGTTTTCCTTTTCTAGGTGAGGTTTCCTGATGCAAATGTGTTTATCCATGAAGGTTTTAGAAATGCTCTTGGTCTGACCCCTCTCCTGAGTCCTGTTTGCCATGGGAGACCCTACCAGGGACTGTAGAGCAACATAGCCCCTAGGATCATGGGGGTACTCAGACCCCTCTGCCACGTTAAGATGGGGATTTTAGTAACTCTGTACGTCAGCAAATATTTAATAAATTTAATAAACATGATAAAGATGATTAATAAAAAAAATTCTTGCAATGAGTCGGAGTGAAACAAACCTCTTGATTGTGGAGGTAAATCTTTCTGATTAAATGTAGCTGAAATGTTATTTTTTAATTAGTTTCCATCAAAAATAAAATCTAAATTAAATATAAAAACTTTCAGATGATTAAAAAGACTTTATTTTAGAAACAGTTTGTGATTCAACAAGTAAATTTACCAAAAATATGTAGAAAACGTTGAATTAAGGAGTGAACAGTAATGTGTGTGCCTGCAGTGGTTCAAGGTGTGTGTGAGAGCAGACCAGGTGTATGTGGGCGTGGCCTGTGCGTGGATCTGCCACGTGGGAATCACACCTGTAAGTGTGATCAAGGTTTCCAACTCAACACTCAGCGACAACACTGTCACGGTGAGAAAAAACAATTGTGTCATGTTACTTCCTGTTGGTGTTGTCTCTTCCTGTTGGTGGTGTTGTCACTTTCATTGGGCGTTGTCAATTCCATTGGGTGGTGTCATGCCTTTTCCTGTTGGTGGTGTTGTCACTTCCTGTTGGTGGTGTCATGTGTTTTCCTGTTGGTGGTTTTGTGCCACTTCCTGTTGGCGGTGTTGTGCCACTTCTGGTAGCACCATGCTTCTTCCTGTTGTTGGTGTTATGCCATTTCCTGTTGGTTGTGTCATGCCTCTTCCTGTTGGTGGTGTTGTGCCACTTTCGGTAGCATCACGCTTCTTCCTGTTGGTGGTGTTATGCCATTTCCTGTTGGTTGTGTCATGTGTTTTCCTGTTGGTGGTTTTGTGCCACTTCCTGTTGTTGGTGTCATGCCTCTTCCTGTTGGCGGTGTTGTCACTTCCTGTTGGTGGTGTCATGTGTTTTCCTGTTAGTGGTTTTGTGCCACTTCCTGTTGTTGATGTCATGTCAGTGTGGTTCTGAAATTGGGTTTTGTTTGGTTCTGAAGATATCGATGAGTGTCAGCAGAACCCCTGCAGCAACGCTCGCTGTGAGAACACACCTGGCAGCTACAGGTGTGTTTGTCGCCATGGTTACAGACTCATCGGCAACACCTGCTCAGGTAAGAACATAAAAACACAAACATCAGAACACAATTACAACATGGCTCTATCTGGTATCGGTGTGGTTCTGTGGGTCCTTGAGGTTCTGTGGGTCCATGTGACTCTATCAGCTGATGGATGACGATTCTTGATGTGGTTCTGTCTGAGGGATCGGTCCAGCTCAGGCCCCTGAATTTCCTCCAGATTCTTCAAATGGTTTCCTCATGATGTTCTAGATGTCTGCAGGTTTTCTTCATGTCAGGTTCAGGTTCTGAGTTGTTTGTAGAACTTTAAAGAAATCCTTCATCATGACACTTCCACCACTGTGCTTCACAGCTGAGGTTCTTTAGTAAGAAGCAGAGAAGAAAACACTGACATTCCTCCAGGTTCCTCAATGGTTTCATGAGGTTCTGCTCTGAAGAGGAACATCTGAAAATCATCTTTGGTTTTCTGACCAGTTTGGGGTTAAACTGGATCCTCAGACAGAATCGGAGGCTGATGTTAGATTACATCTGGATTAAAAGCACTGCTTTAATCTCATGTTATCAGCTTTACAGCTCAGAAGGCTCCAGTCCAGAGCTGTTTCTGTCTGAAACACACAAATTGATGAAATATAAATAAATAAAGTTGAAAAAATGTATGAACATGAAACATTGCAGCTTTGATCTGTGAGAAGGAAAGATGCAGAACATGTTACAATTTAATTCTTTAGTTAATCTACAGAAATTATTTAACTCAACCGCTTCCTTTTTTGGGGACAGAGATGGTGTAGAGGTAGGGCGGCCAACTTGGGACTAGAAAGGTTTGATCCCCAGCCATTCCCACGTGTTGCGGTGTCTCTGAGCAAGACACCTAATCCCCACTTGCTCCCCAGGCGCTTACATAGCTGCCCACTGCTCCACCTGGGTGTATCTCAGGTGTGATGGGTTAAATGCAGGGAACTCATTTCTCCATTGTATGGGAACATACAATGATGACAACACGTAGCACTTTACTTCCTGTTCCCACTGACTGTAATATATGTGCTGAGTCATGTTTGGGACCTTTGCACATCAGGTGTTAATGCTGAGTCATGTCTGAGAGCTGTGTATGTCACGTTAACGCTGAGTCATGTTTGGGACCTGTGCATGTCATGTTAATGTTGAGTCATGTTTGAGACGTGTGTGTGTCATGTTATTGCTGAGTCATGATTGGGACCTTTGCACATTAGGTATTAGTGCTGAGTCATGTTTGGGACCTTTGTACATCAGGGGTTAATGCTGAGTCATGTTTGGGTACATTTGTGCATCAGGTGTTAATGCTGAGTCATGTTTGGGACCTTTGTGCATCAGGTGTTAATGCTGAGTCATGTTTGGGACCTTTGTACATCAGGTGTTAATGCTGAGTCATGTTTGGG